ACGGGCATTAACGTTCAGTCGTACACTGCCTCTGGCTACGACCACTATTTCTCCTCCCTTGCTTATTTCTGCTAGTGACTCATATAACCCGCCGGTGGGCTGTGCTGGCTCGTTCTTTTATTCCTTTTTTTTGCTTCCACCTCTTAGCAGGGAGTGACGCGACTTGCATTTACTATCTTTGGTGTTAACGTAAGTTTCAGTGTATCGCTGGGATGGTGGGAGGGACACTCGTGGTCGCCCCTCGGTGGTGGTTAGAAAAAGCATGCACATGCACAACGAATGCCACGGCAATCACGGCGAGTCCAAACTAATTCACGGTGCGAGCCCGCAGCTTCGCGAAGCACCGGACGAGGCTCGCTACAGATGCGCACGCGTGCATCTAGTGTAGACAGTTCCTGCTCACGGCCGTGCAGCACACTGCAGAGCGCGACAGCTGCTGTCGGTCCGCCTCGGCCGATGGCCGAGGCCCGCGCCGCCTCGGGCGAACCGCACGGCGGGCTGTGTTTTCGCAGTGTGGAGGACCTTCAACGCAGGAAGATGGATCTGAGCCACCCCGTCAGGTTTAGGTCGGTTTGTGTGGCAGGATTGGGACGGCAGTCAAAGCAAGTGCCGGCTGGGTTTAATTCGTGACACCAACGCCGTCTTCTTCGAACCTCAACGTTCACGTAAAAGCCAGCCAGATTGTTTAGCGTTGGTGCGTACACGGCAAGCTAGAGAGTATATCACAATTGCACTCGCAATTGGCAACAGGAAGCAGTTCAAGTTCAACCTTCGCCCTTAAGCGTACTTAGTTTTGCCTAGAATCAATTTTAGTAGTAATCACGTCGGCTTTGACCTGTGCTCCCGTGAATTGGATAATTCATCGGATATCATGTACGTGAGTCACTGACCGCATCAAAATAGTGGCCGCCGGCGAAGTGATTTTGTAGGAACAAGTGAGAATAAGTACAAAGGTTGCATGTCAACGAGCTGAGTTCGAAGACAAGAATACTCGCGCCTTATATTTAGTATCATTCGGCGTCTAACATCAGGTGTTTTACATAAGCAGCCCGGCTCAAACCCTCCAAAATAAAACAATTGTTGGCAGGATATTAACAGGGCCATGAGCATGACACACCGTGTGTGTATAATCCAACACCCCCTATCCCCTGACGAGGGCCTCACGGTGAGGCGCGCTCAGGTCACAATGCGTGCTCGTGTGGAGGCGCAGCTGATGACTGGAAGCGGACGTTGGTGCGGCAGATGCCGCAACACGCGCCTGCTTCGGGGCGGCAGGTTCGTAAGCAGGACGGAGTCTCCTTCGACGCAGCTAATCCCACTGAACTGCGTACCACTTGGGGACAACACGGCCTCGGCGAGGCGTGGATACCGATCGGTTTACCTGCCCGGTGATGGCTCTCTTCTGACGATTTTCTAGCGACTGGCATCATAAAAACGTGGCGCTTTCAGGAGCTAAGCCCTCTTCCGCATCTCGAGCGTCCGAGAAGTGGCATCATGGTGCCTTACAATATAACAACTGTCTGTGTCCTGTCCCTGTGCCGCTGTTATCCAACGAAGCGCCCCACCATGTAGCGTGACGGCTGGTGCTTTACGTCTGCTCCTGCCACTCCCGCGCGCCATCGCCGCAACTGGCAACATCCACCAGCAGCGTCAACCGTCCCGCGACGACCTCCTTACATCGCTGCGTCCGTCGCCGCCGCCAGCCGCCACCACACGCGCCTCGGCGCGACCCAGCCTGCCTCCCTCCACTCGCCTCCGCACACCCCGGCCTCAATAGACATCCGTTTATTTGGAAAGCAGCCACAGTTCGCTAGGCGTGTCCGGCATGGCCGGCCGCCACACAACGTTTGAGCATTTCGGCAGCAGCCGCCCGGCTGGGTGCCGGCCGGCGGCCGCGTGCGCACGCGTCCGGCCGGGAGAGCCGGCGTCCGGGCCCACGCCACGCTCGATCGTGTAGGCTCGCAGGGGTTAACAATCACGGAGGAGCCGACTTAATGGAAACACAGGGCGACGCCGCCCGACACATGCGTTAATACTTAGGCTACGCTAAAAACTTACGAAAGCACGTGCACTGAAAATGAATGCGCCGGCATTGCGAGAGGGCCTGCGATTGCGGTTAAACCGACGCGAACGGGCGGGCACTTGTCGCGAGAAAATTTTCGGTAACAGCTGCGGAACACCAGAAGCACGGTAAACAAAGAACGCGCGGGACGCAAAGTACGCTCTCATCGCTCGTCGCCGTTCGCCCACTTCCACTAACCAGCTCCAGAAAATAACGAAAATGCAAAAATACTCCACACCCGAGTCCGAGTGCACAATATGTTCCGCGCGTAGGCGATATCGCGTGCTAAAAAAGCTAGAGATGTTCCGCGGGCGCGTGGCCGACCGCCGCAGCAGCCACATGACGCGCCGAACCCCGCAGGCTACATTGGAGGCCACCGGACGGCGAGTACGTCGTGTCTTAAACGCAACCAAGCGACGGCCAGGCGCCCCGGGCCTTCTGACGGCGAAGGCGCGCCAGTGACGTCACAGGCGGCCGCCGCGCGGACGGTGACTAGAATCTCGGCGGCCCGCGGCCTGCCGTCCCAGCGCCCCTCCCCCCTCCCCCCCCCGACCTCCCCGCCTGCCGAAGCACCGTGGCCCCACGAGACGCACGCGCTCGCACCCGACTAAAGCAGGACCGCGCAAAACAAGTAACATGGCGACGACGACGCGCCGTCCGCCGGCGGGCACACCACCGCTGCTTGGCACGAACAACTGAAACCTGCCGACGCGACGGCCGCCTGACTGACTGGTGCCGGCGGGCGCTCGGGTCGCGCCACCCCCGACCAGCCGGACGGCAGCTGACGGAGCGCGGCGTCCGGGGACCGGCGGCACGGCCTGGCACCGGCCCGAGCGGCGGGCAGAGCGGCAGGATGGAGACCGGCCGGTGACGAGACCAGAGCGGCAGGATTGGGGGCTGGTAGGTGTCCAGAGCAGAGCGGCAGGATGGGGAGACCTGAAGAGAGCAGAGCGGCAGGATTGAGGACCGGCCAGTGATGAGAACAGAGCGGCAGGATTTGAGGACCGCCCGGTGAAAAGGGCAGAGCGGCAGGTTGAGGACCGGCCGGTGAAGAGAGCAGAACAATAGGATTGGGAGACCTGAAAAGAGCAGAGCGGCAGGATTGGTGACCGGCCGGTGAGGAGAGTAGAGCGGCAGGTTGGGGACCGGCCGGTGAAGAGAGCAGAGCAATAGGATTGGGAGACCTGAAAAGAGCAGAGCGGCAGGTTGGGGACCGGCCGGTGAAGAGAGCAGAGCAATAGGATTGGGAGACCTGAAAAGAGCAGAGCGGCAGGATTGGTGACCGGCCGGTGAGGAGAGTAGAGCGGCAGGATTGGGGACCGGTCGGCGAAGAGCAGAGCGTTGGGATTTGGGACCGGCCGGCGAAGAGAGCAGAGCGATAGGATTGGCAGACCTGAACAGAGCAGAGAGGCAGGCTTGGCGACCGACTGGTGACGAGAGAAGAGCGGCAGGATTGGGAGACCTGAAGAGAGCAGAGAGGCAGGATTGGGGACCCGCCGGTGACGAGAGAAGAGCGACACGATTGGAGCACCGATGGGCCGACCACGCGCTGCCACCTTGGTGGCCGGTGGCTCGCCGACCAAAGATATGCGCCACTTGGGAGCGATCACAGCAGATTTCATGGACCCAAAAGGTGCCAGGAGCAATAATTCTGACGCGTTTCAAACGCTCGGGTGCAAAAGGCAGCCCTGTTGCTGGCACCACGCGATACAAATAATCGTCACCAAACACTTTCACATAACTCGTGAAAAGGTATGCATCGCCTGTGGAGGCATAGCCAAACTTAAATAATGCCTACCGGACTCCGACCTCGCGTCGCCTGCAACTTTGGGCGCCGCAGCGCTGGGTGGCTTTCATAACGTTTCAAATCAGAGACGTCGCAAGTACGAAACAGAATGAACGAGACAGAAAAAGTCCGTCGGCCAGAGCCACATGAGTCGCGACGAAGGGCGGGGGAGGGGCACGCGCACGAGAGGAGGGGAAGGGGAGGAGAGAGCAGGGGAGAGGCGGGTGTCGCCGCGGTCTGGCCGCTGCCCCCGGTCCCCGGACACCAGGGCTATCACGGAGTGCGAGTTGGCCCCCCAGCTCCACACCTATCACGGAGCACACGTACCCACCCACACACGTACACCGACAGACGGACAGGCAGACAGACAGGCTCCCCTCGGTGAAGTCAACGCCCCCACACGGGGGCAACACGGCCGACGGCGCGCGGACGACGGCGGCGCGCGGCGCGGGCGGCCGCCGGCCCGGCCCCGCCAGAGCGACCGCAGCTCGGCACACCAGCGCCGACCAGCGCGGCCTTGACCAGCGCCGACCAGCGCGGCCCTGACCAGCGCCGACCAGCGCAGCCCTGACGCCGCCACCGCAGTCGTGTGCCAGCCGGCCCCGGTGGCCGCCCGGCTCCCACACGGGGCGCCGGAGCGGCCGGCGAGCACGGCCAGGTGAGCGCCAGCCGGGACCATCGCCTCAGACGCACGCCTCCGTCACGACCGCGCGTCGGGAACCTTCGCCGGTCACAGAGCGCGGCATTATCGAGGCGGTCGCGACGCCTCCTGCCGTAACAGACCAACGCTTTGAAAGCGGCCGGCAGGGAGCGACTGCAGCACAGGCGGCGCAACAGCCGCAGTCTTTCAGAGAGCGGACCTTGCGAGCCGCAGCCGGGGCCCAGTGGCGATGATCCGCGGGGCACCGGGGGATAAGAACCGAACGAAGTCGAGTCGAGGCCGCCCGCGCGCGCCGCCGCCGCCGCCGCGGCGCCATCCCACGCTCGCACGCCAACAACGAGTCACAACAGGGGGCCACACACAATAAATAACCGTTTCTTAAACGTTAAATCCATTAACAAAGAACGCGCGGCGCCCACCACGGCTCCGCGCTCACCCCGCACGCACGCAGCTGCCCCACCCGCCCCGCCCCGCCCCGCCCACCCCGCCGGCTATGGACGATGTATGCGTATGGATTGCTGGCCGGCTGCCGGCGAGCGGCCTGCGCCCGGCAGCCGGCGCCTCACAGTGACGAGCGGCTTAGTGACCAGCACTTCACAGAAATGCGGCGCTTCGGCGGCTGACCGGCGTGTCTTGGCGCCGCCCAGCGCCTCCGGACGCCGGCACGCGGAGCCCGCTGCCGGCGCGTTCGGGCCCGGTTCAGCCGCTCCCGCCGCCGCCACCGCCGCCGCCGGTGCCACCCGTGCCGCCGCCGCCGGTACCGCCGCCGCCGCCGGCACCGCCGCCGGCACCGCCACTGCCGCCTCCGTCGGCGCCTCCAGCGGCGGCGGCGCCTCCCCCGGCCGCCCCGCCGCCGCCGCCCCGCCACCGCCACCGCCACCACCGCCGCCGCCGCCGCCGCCGGCCGGCTGACGCGGCCGCAGCGGCGCCTCGCGCAGCCAGTCGCGGAAGGTGGCCTCCATGAGAGCGCGCGTCTGCGCGCTGCCCACGTTCACCGTCGGGATGATCTCGCGCGGCTGCACGAACTGGATGAAGCGGCGCAGCTCCGAGTAGCTCGAGTGCTCGCTGTACGGCACGCCTGCGGGGTCAGATCAGGTCAGGTTAGGTCAGGTCAGGTGCCGCGGGGCGCAGTCGGCGCCAGGTGCGAACTTTATAGCCTTTAATCTCAGTTTTAGGGGGACGGCAGAATATAACCCTGCCAGACCCGAAGGATCATGCGGGAGGAAAACAAGAGCCCGGGAGACTGAAAATAAAAGGCGTGATGATACAGAGAGCGAGAGAAATATAAGAAAAGAGCATCATATTCACACTGGACAGTGAGAATCGATGGGTGATGAGGAGGCTCTTCCCGTTTCAGTGTTATTTTCCTACTGAAATCTGACTTTCGGAACATCGTCCAGGTCCCACGACGAACAAAGAATTCAGCGTAGGGGCGAGCCACCAACACAAATCACCTTTGAACTACATTGTAAGCTGTGTAACATCACGTACGCATGACTTACAATGACCCTTTCTTTCTTCAGCCTTCGTTTTTCATGACGCCATGATAAAGAGCTCGCTACTCTTGCACTCCACTTATACATAACACAAAATAACTGTCGGCGCTTCACGACGCGGCACTGCGACGCAATTGATCCAGATATGTGTCATCGCCTAATCATGTCCTTGATCTTGTAATTGGACAAACCAGTTTGGCGGCATCAGGGAGGGTCTGGAGGGCACTGGTGACACACTGCGAGGATTAGCGCTCTGGCCGTCCCCGAACAGCGTGCGGCTGCTGGGACTGCATTCGAAAGAACACTGTAACCGCCAGTGGTCGGCAGTGAAATAAACTTACCACCACAGACTATTTGGGAGTGAATGAGGGGGAGGGGAGGGGGAGGGCGGGGCGAAACCGGCAAGGGACCACGTAATACAGCAGCTGACAGCAGAAATTTACGTGTTTTTGAAAATTTAGTTTTTAAAAAAATTGACGTGAAATTTACAATCACAGTGACTAAATGGACAGGGGCAAAAGTGTTCATCTCGTGACGCAAGGACTTAAGGCGCCGCAGTGCAACAAGCTCGCCCTGCTTAACAAGCCCGCGGTCAATACCGAAGTGTACTGAAAATCGCTTCTGTGACCAGGACCGCTGCGGAGAACACCCAAGCACACTGCGCTTCACCAAACCCCACATGTACCCCTCGTCCAGCGCCAACCTCCGGCGACTTGCCCTCAGCGGCGGTCGGGGCCCGGCTGCGCAAGCCGCACCGAGACGGCGGCGCGGCACCACTCCATCACGCCCTGCTATTGGAGCAGCAAAGCAAAGCAGACTGGGACAAGGCCTCAATCTATGGCGAGTGAATTTGGCAGCCAGTGACGAACGCGCGGGAGACTAGATTCCCTACTAGACACGCCGTGTTACCCACTACGCCGCAGGGATCGTCTCCCAATAATATGTGTGCCAATAAAAAACTGTTGTTGTTTTAAAACACACTGTCTCCCTTCCGCTATCTAAATGCATCTCAAACCCGAACCGAAACGACCTAGGACAAAACACCACATTCTGTCAAGTGTTTCGGCACTCCAGAATTTCATACCGACCGCCCGGCTGCCACGCCAGCCACCGATAGACTTAGTGAGTAGATAGACTTAGTATTACCAACAGAAGACGCTGTCGTCGTTGCTATGGTTACGCGCAGCCGCCAGCTGCCACAGAGAACCGCGTGCAGGAGATGCAAAAGGCGCCGCTGACAGCTGAGCAACATCGCGAAGCACCTGCACACTGCATACCTCTGGCTGCATCACAAAGACACAAGGACGCAGTAACAATACCCGCACCTTTTGTCGCGGGGTTCCGCTAAAAGGACCGGACGCCACCGCGTCTTGCAATATTCCCGTACTGTACGAACTAGCGTGAATGGATGTTTTAATCCAGTTTGTCAATGAAGCCGGCACTCTACGTCACGTGCCTTCCCTGCGGCGCTCTTTCAATGGAGCATTTACGTGGGCGTCGCACCGGCTTCCCGGGAGGTCGTGTCGAGAGCGTCAGCCAATCTGTATGAAGGTGACCCGTGGTCACAACTATTTAAATCGGTAAGAATGTGCTTACCGTGTTCGACGGCGACAACATCCAATACTGACAAAAGATCAGGGTGATAACAGCCAACCATCGCAGACTTCACCTGTCGTTAGCGCCGCACGGCTCCTTCTGCGATGATGCTAACCTGGGCTTTGGGGCGAACCGATTACAATGCTCATATGGCGCCCAACGGGTCCTTCTGTGACCGGGCGAGACAGCCGCGTGACATCAGCACAATACAGGCCCGCCGCCACAGAGTCGGCCGCGCCGTCACCCCATCCCCCCCCCCCTCCGGCGAGCCGTGCCGCCACCCGGCTCACCGTAGATGGCGATGTTGCCCGAGATCTTGGGCTTGAAGTCGCCGTGCGTCTCGTGGTCCTTGCCGTGCTCCCAGCCGGTGGGCTTGATGGCCACGATATGGGTGTACTGCGACTGGAATATCTTCAGGTAGTTCTGCAGCGTCTGCGGCCACACGGTGGGTCGCTGTTAGTACACCGTGCGACAGAGTCTACGCAGCAGTCTACACAGACTCTACGCAGCGTCTACGTAGCAATCTAAACAACGTCTACGTAGTAGTCTACACAGCGTCTACGCAACAATCTACACAGTCTGTAGTGTTCATGTAGCAGTCTACACAGTGTCAACGCAACAGTCTGCAGAATCTACACAGCGTCTAATTAGCAGTCTACACAGCGTCTGCATGGTCCACAAAGCGTCTACAAAGCGTCAACGAAGCATCTACACAGCGTCTACGCAGCAGTCTAAATAGCGTCTATGCAGTAGTCTACACGGAGTCCAAAAACGTCTACACGGAGTCCACAAGCGTTTACACAGCGTCTACACAGCGTCTACATAGAGTCTACGCAGCAGCCCAGGCACCGTCCCGCCTATCACTGGGTCAAACGTCAGCTAGCAACGCTTGGCAGCCACGCAGCCGTCCATCCATCTCACCGGTGGAGGCCAACGTCGGGCGCAGCGCCGACAATCTCCCGGTCACAACTTCCCTCGCGACATGTGAGGTGACTCACCTTCATGGTGAGGTGACCCAGCGGCAGCACGTATATCCGCGCCAGCCGCTGGTCGGTGGCGACCCCTGTGACCCACCTTCATGGTGAGGTGACCCAGCGGCAGCGCGTGTATCCGCGCCGGCCGCCGGTCACTGGTGACCCCTGTGACCCACCTTCATGGTGAGGTGACCCAGCGGCGGCACGTGTTTCCGCACCAGCTGCCGGCCACTGCTGACCCCCGTGACCCACCTTCATGGTGAGGTGACCCAGCGGCAGCACGTGTATCCGCGCCAGCCGCTGGTCCGTGGTGAGGCGACGCTTGATCTGCCGCTCCTCCAAGCACTGCAGCGTACGCCGCTTGTCGGCAGACGCCCAGAACAGACAGTCGAGCGACTCGGCCACCGCCAGGAACACGCGCTCCTTGCCTGCCAGGCGGGACACTCAGTCAGGGCCGGCGTCGTCCGTCCGCTGGGAACGGTCCGCCGCGCGCGACGCCGGCCGTCCGCGTCGTGACACGTCGAGCCGAGCGTGGAGAAGCGCCAAAACACTGCCGGTGGTGAGTTTCGAACCCACGACCCCGCGCTAGCCGCTAAGCTGTCCTTAAAGGGAGCATCCCACCTTTTTGTACTTTTAACTTGTTGATAGATCAGACGCGTGCGACTTGATCAGCAGCATCAGTTTTCTCCAAAGCCCTCTCAAAAGCCCGTAATTTTTTTTTGAAGCAACCACAGTCGGCGCACTCATAGCAACCGCTCATCATAACGGCACATACTAAACCTGCCTCGCCCAGGCCGGCCACAGCCTGAGCGGCAGCCCACCACTGACCGATCGTATAGCTGCCGCACACCACCAGTGTCTTGGCGTTCTTCTGGATGGCCTCGTTGACAATGCGCACGCACTGGTGCAGGATGTCGGACTGGCTGGGGAAGTCGTACATCGGATCACAGTATCTGAAACGCGACACCGCTCGTCAGGCCGGGATGCGGGTGGCTTACGTCGTCCCGCGGCGGCTTAAACACCGCACCACAGAGAGCCAGCTGCAGCTGGCTTACGTCGTTCCGCGGCGGCTTAAACACCGCACCACAGAGAGCCAGCTGCAGCTGGCTTACGTCGTCCCGCAGCGGCTTAAACACCGCACCACAGAGAGCCAGCTGCAGCTGGCTTACGTCGTTCCGCGGCGGCTTAAACACCGCACCACAGAGAGCCAGCTGCAGCTGGCTTACGTCGTTCCGCGGCGGCTTAAGCACCGCACCACAGAGAGCCAGCTGCAGCTGGCTTACGTCGTCCCGCGGCGGCTTAAACACCGCACCACAGAGAGCCAGCTGCAGCTGGCTTACGTCGTCCCGCGGCGGCTTAAACACCGCACCACAGAGAACCAACTGAAATGCAGTTTTACGGGAGGATGGAGACGAGGCATACGCATCACGGATCGAGCGATGGCTCGGACCACCGAATTCGTGTGGCGCGCCACAGCGCACTCACCGACACCACACCAGACGCGAACGCCGGTCCCAACAGCCACCCCACCCGCACACCCGGCACACACCCGATCCGCAGCGAACCAGCCGGCTCGCACCGGATCGCAGCCGCCGCCACACCGCCCACAAGAGCGGACCCACTGGCCCCCGCCGGCTCAAGAGCCCGCACCGCCACACCACGCGCGTGACCCCCGCGGGAGCTCCGGGCCGCGCGGCGCCGCCCGCCCGCGCCGCAGCCAGCCCGGCCGGCGCGCGTGCTCACGTGGTGTCCAGGTAGACCCGATCGATGGCCGTGTTCCACAGCTCCGGGTAGCTCTCCATGGAGGGGTCGGCCCGGAAGTCGCCCACGTGCAAGTACGCGCGCCCGTCGCGGAACTTGAACAGGAACATGACGGCGCCCGGACAACTGTGGACACGCAGGGCCTCCGGTGGTCAGACGGCGGCGGGCGCGGAGAGCGTCAGACGGCAGGTGACACATGTCAGACAGCAGGTGACGCACGTCAGATGGCAGGTGACATGTCAGACGGCGGGTGAGACACGGCTGACGGCAGGCGACACATGTCAGACGGCAGGTGACACATGTCAGACGGCAGGTGACGCACGTCAGATGGCAGGCGACGCACGTCAGACGGCGGGTGACACACGTCAGATGACAGGTGACACATGTCAGACGGCGGCGGGCGCGGACAGCGTTAGACGGCAGGCGACGCACGTCAGACGGCGGGTGACACACGTCAGATGACAGGTGGCACGCGTCAGACGGCAGTTGACGCACGTCAGATGGCAGGTGACGCACGCCAGATGACAGGTGGCACACGTCAGATGACAGGTGTTACACGTCAGACGGCAGGTGGCACACGTCAGATGACAGGTGTTACACGTCAGACGGCAGGTGGCACACGTCAGACGGCAGGTGACACACGTCAGACGGCAGGCGATGTACGTGAGATGACAGGTGACACACGTCAGATGACAGGTGCCACAGTCAGATGACAGGTGACACACGTCAAACGACGGGTGACACGTGTCAGACGGCAGGCGACACACGTCAGATGACAGGTGACACACGTCAGATGACAGGTGACAAGTTACGCGGTAGCGGGCATGCGGGCATGCGGTACGCAAAATGACACATCACATACATGGCGGGTCAATGACATCAGATACATCGCGTGATATCACATATGATGACACAGCTCGCATGGAACATCAGATGCACGGAGCGTCAGATGCATGGGTTGCAAATGAGACACATCAGATGTTAAACACTGCACCTTTTCCACGCTACTGTGCGGGGATATGTGCGAGCATGTACCGATGCAAATTTGTCCGATGCTATTACACGTCACAATAACTGTGCGTATGCGGGTTCGAAGCAGCAACGCGTAAGAGCACAGGGACCTGGGATTTTCGTTGTAACGCCCGCCGCGTGCCACGAAAGGGGAAGGGGGTCGGCACCCCCCGTCCGGCCGGTTGGCCCAGTTTCGAAACAAACCGGCCCGGGAAGAAGTGTCAACGGAGGGTATAAAAGATCTGGGACGGGTGCCGGGAGGACACAGATCTGGACGGACCAGTGAGAAGGACATCCGTGTGCCGGCTCGGACTGCAAAGGTCCGAAGACAACGCCACCACTCTTCCGTCACCATGTAAGAGTCAGTCCCTTTCACCCCGCTCCAGGTCTAGTGCATCCCTTCCTTCTGCCCACGAAATTCGGCCCCAGGTCTTTGGCAGCCGTGTAAGCGCTTCTAATGTTAGCTGTGCTATTTCAATCGTCCGTCATAGACGCCCCCCCCCCCCCCTCCCCCCCAATGAGACAAGATTCGCTTTGGGGAAGTAGATGCCACATCGAGGCGCTGAAAAGGCCTTACGAGACGGTGGGATGCCATTAGTCCAAGAGACAGCCGGATAGATGATATAGATTTGTTGCGGTGCGGTGGCTTCTCATGATTTGTGCGTATGCTATCATTTTAATTATTATTTTCCTTACTTATTCTAATTTCCATACTTCAACATTTTTATTTAATAATTGTACTATGTAGGGCGAACATCCACCGTCGTGGATGGGCAGTGTCCAACGGCCAGCCATGAGAAGTCCACCTCTGCGGATAGAACAAAGGACAGGGCCAGACGCCGGCTACGAGCGCCGCGGGCGCCATCTGTCGATGCCCGTTCAGACGTCCGGGCGCTGCGGCCCACAACGAACCGCTCCAATTCCTGGCGGAATTTTCCACACCGAAACGTCCCCCTCTTCAAAGCTATAAGCACCGACATAAGACAACGAAAGAAAAGATCTTATTTCGCAAAGAGAGGAAATGATCGAACCGGAAGTTTTCAATCGTAACGCGCGTCCGCCCCGCGAGATCATTTCCAATGACAATCAACAGGGGCAAGGTGTTAAGACCCGGTACTTTACACCGGCCATCCATCAGCGGGCGGTGCTACCCCGACAAGCTAGTGCGAGAGGAGGCAGCACGCTTGGAGGAGCTCTGCTGTCCGTGTCTATCGCTCACCAAATCGGTAGGCACCATTTGGAATGCGAACAACCGAAAAACAATAAACAAACCATCCGCATAAATCTGGCCGACAATCGTGGTTATAATTATACCAATCAAGCATGTGCAACGGCGTTTACCATTGTTACAATTCCCGGGCCCTTATGAAAGAACGCGTAAAGATTCCTCTAGGGAGCTGGACGTTCCGCCGCCGGTGTCGACAGTGCGGTAGTTAAACTGCGCGTCTGGAACACCAGAGGCACAGGGTTGACCTCCGTAAGGTAGTCGCCCTCCCTGCCAAGGCAAGAGGACAGCCTTCACGTGCACCGTCAGCAGCTGAGCGCGTCGTCAAGCCCCAATCACAACAACAACAGCAGTTTCGCAACGATGTTTTTCATCCCGCGCAGTGCACAAACCTGTTAAGGCCGGAGAAAACGCCCTCTTATTTCGCCGAATGTACCCGCAATTAAAAGCTGCGTTGCAGCCGAAAAGCAGACCAGTCCAATTGTACACCGAGCACGTCAAGGTCCTCTCGCTGACGCCGATCGGCCTCGTCGCACGAAATAACGATTGCCGAAGACGGCGTACAAACAGGCTTGGAAAGGGGGGACGGGAGAAGGGGAGAAGAGGGAGGGGGTAAGGTGAGCACAGCGGTAAAAGGACGCCCCAATGGCTTAATGTGTACCACGTCCGTGAAAATGGGGACGTTATGACGCGATCAACCAGGGTGTCAGTCCGACGGTCGTGTAAGTCCGGAGGACCCAAGAGTCTATCCTTGTGCCGTGCGTACACGCGTCTCGCTGCCGACGTACGCCCTCTGTCCCACCCTTAGGACACGCGGAGCTCCCCGCCAGACGAACGAGGAGGATAGACAACACACGGGGCTCCCCGCCGGACGGACGAGGAGAACAGACATTACACTGCCGCGGCACTCACTAACTGCACGACGTTCAGGCCAGGCACTCGCTGGCCGGCCGGGTGGAACAAATGGTTCACACCGGCCCGGCAGTCCCTGGACACACGGAGACGGGCTGACAACCCCACACGCCCCTCCCCCCCCCCCCCCCCCCCGTCATGCTCACTGGTTAGCGTCAAGCAGCGTCACTTCCACGTTGAACACCAGCTTGGGCTCGTTCATGGGCAGCATCTTGATGCGCTCGGCAGGCACCTTCAGTCGCGTGATCACCAGGTTCCCTGCCGGCCCGCAGGTCAGGTCAGGCCGCGTCAGGGACCCGTCAGGGACCGCGGGCACCGTCACAGCGCCGGGCACCACTGCCAGAACGGCCGGGCGGCGCCCCAGGCGGGCTCCCCGACCGGCGGTGAGCACTAGCCTAGCCGGATCACCGCACGCAGCCAGCGGCGTGTCTGCGACGATCACAGCGACATCGGCCGCCCACCACCAAACCATCGCCGCTGAAGACACAGGTGAAGCTGAAGAAGAGAAGCCAGCTGCCTAGTGGGTAACAGAAGCTAATGGCAAGCAGCGGCTTCGCTGACTGCGGAAGTCAAGCTTCAGACTTAATCCTGACCAGTTCAGCGACAGCCCGCGGGACTCCGTGGCGCAACGGTAGCGCGTCTGACTCCAGATCAGAAGGTTGCGTGTTCAAATCACGTCGGGGTCAGACTTTTCCATCCAACACTGGGTACCGATTCATGGTACGGCAGTGTCACGATTCATCACAACGTACCAGACAGAAACCCAAAAGAAGCACGCGTGATCGTATACTCACAACTCGCCGCTTAAGGCGGCTCCGATCCCTCGTCTCCGTTAAGTGGTAAAATCGCCTGGGGCCAGCGCATGCTCCCCAGCCCCCGATGCAGGGCGGAGACCATCGAGACCATAGCAATACCGTGCCCTCACGTTCTGCACGTGCCAGGAAGGGCAGGACCATACGCAGCCGAACGTCAGGCGGTCCTGATGGGGCCAACGCACCGCCACAGTCCGCCTGTCAGTCGCAGAGAGCGCGCGCCGCGTGTCCCACCACCGCGCCCTCTCCCCCACACACACTCACCGGTAACCTTGCCACAGTAGACGGTCTTCGGGAAGGTCTTGGAGAGGCCGCGGTAGTGGTCGTAGTGGAAGTGACTCAGGAAGTACGCCTCCACGCCTGGCACGATGCCGTAGTTGAAGGCGTCCACGGCGAACGGCGCCCCTGCGCGACGCGTTGTACACAGTAAATATGAGTTGTACAGTCAGAGCCGGAGCGACGACTAGACCACAGTTATCTCCATGCTGGCTGGCGTTTGGGCGCGATATTCCGGGTCCTTTGGCGCCGAGCGCTGGGCGACCGGCCGGACACGGAGGGTAACGGGTCACGATGTCACGAGTCACGTCACGTCACGCAGAGGGCGTAACGGAGGCTACGGCAGAGGACAACGCAACAGTGCCGGAGCAGACGGGGGCAGGTACAGAGGAGGACGAAGGAGCCTACACACGCGGCGACAAAAGTACAGACACCTTACGACAACAGAAGTGGGACGAGCGGATATCTAAGGCCTGCGCTCGTCCGACTTCCGACCGGAATGCTTCGACTAAGGCCTAAAGCCGTAGTAGAAGCATTCCGGACTACACAAAACCCGCCCGGCAAGCCCACCACACTCGCAGGGCCACACACGCACCGCGCCGCGTGCTCCCAACACGCCTCCTTCACCGACAGTTCAGCGGCCTCCGACGAGGCCACACGCGGAAGACCGCTCGCGCCGCCGGCCGCGCCGGCCGCGCCGCCACCCACCGACTGTAGTCCACCTCGCCCCCGCCTCGCCCGCGCAGCGTACCCCGACGGCGACCACCGGCATAAGCTCACACCGCGGCGGCCGCTGCGGCGCGGCGGCGGCTGTACGTACCCGGTATTAGTTTATAGAAGGGACACTTCCTGTCCGGCTGCGGGGGTCGGTCACCGTTGACCTGCGTGCGCTGCTGCTGGGCGGCCGTCACCGACGACGGCCGCATCTTGGACATGATGCGCGACCACTGCTCCTTGGTCTCGGCCTCGGACGCCGGCGCCGCCGCTGCGCCGCACAAGAGCGTCGGTCAGCGCTTTCGGAGGACGGCCGAGCGCCACCCCGACACCCGCACCGGCTGCGGTGGGGAACGACTCCGCCGACGACGCCGGCACGGGCCGAGCATGGCAGCGAGAGCGGGACCGCGGCGGGAGACGGGACGGGAACGGGAAAGGGACGGCAACGGGAGACGGATGGCAACGGATGACGGACGGGCGCGGGACGGGAACGGGCGAGCGGCAACGCGTCACAACGCTGCGGGTCTGATGCCAGGCCGCGGCGGGGGCTGACGCGGGGCACGCGCGGTAGGGACACCAGAGCCGGCACCAGTCACGCTTCGCGTGACTGGTGCTATCGGGCGTTAGCGGCACTGGCAAATTTTTCGGGATGGAGCGTTCGCCGCATCATAGTTTCAAAATGCGTGTGCGCGTGTCATTGGGACTTAAAGACGCACCCGGATCGTGCGGCTGGGTGACGTCGCCTGTCTCCCACCCTGGCAGGAAAGGCGGACATCGCAGGGAATCGAACCCCGTACCTCTGGTTTTCCAGACGCGCAGCTCAACCACTACACTATCGGCAGCCTAATTAAAAAATGTACCTGACGCACAAATACACACAACGCATCATCCCGTGCACCTGGCTCATAAATAAGCATTAATCATAGCCAAACAACCGGGACATCACTCATATTTTCACAACCACATCCACGAAATGGACTTCTAAACAGGTCCAAACATCTCCCGCGGCAGCGCACCAAACATCCACAACCAGAACGGCCGGTCCCCCGCACATCCCAGCGTCAGACAGCGCGTCCGCCACCCCACCTTTGGCGGCGTCGGCGTCCTGGGCGGGCGGCGCCGGCGAGCCGGCCGACTCCGGCTCGGCCGCCGCCGGCGTCGGCGGCGTCGGGGCCGGCGGCGGCGCCGCCGCCGCCGGAAAGTAGCCGGTGATGACGGCCTGGCGGGCCGGCGCCGCCGCCTCGGCCGCCGCCAGGCCGGCCAGCCGCCGCTTCTTGGGCGGCTGCGAGATGGCGCCGGCCGCCTGCTGGCTGAGCGCCGAGCCGGCCGAACCCGTCAGCTTGCTGCCGGCCGAGCTGCGGCGGGAGCGCGCCGTTAATCGACGGCCCGCCGCGGCGACGGCGCAACGCCCCGGCGGCAGGCACGCGCGCCAGACGCGCGCGGCGCCGGCAGACACGTTTGCTCAGCACGCGCTCAGCACGCGCACACTGCGATGGGGTGCGCGTTACGTGTTCTCTCGCGTGGTGGAGTGTGCCTACCGGCACGCGCCTTACAAGAACAGCACGCCCGGCGAAAGCGAAGACGACCGCGGAAGATTGTCATCAATAAAACGTTGAGTCAAACTTACCACCGTCGATACACAACTACCAGAGGCCATCCAATGATGATGCATAAACCACTGAGCCACGGACAAGAAGAAGACTCACCAGAAAAAAACTTTAATCACAACCCAAGCACATTACCTAACGCTTACCGCGTGAGCCACCCAACATGCAGCCATCCAAAGCCCACACGATTCCACGACGCTGAAGCACCCGCCGTTCTCCACCCCGTGACTGACCCGGAGTCGGACGGCTTATTCAGTTCACTGGCGGCCGAGTCGGTGACGCGATTCATCTCGCTGATGCCCGAGTCTTGCGCCGTACCGCTCTGCTTCGAGTCCTCGTCCAGGAAGCGCTCCACGGCGTCCGACACGCACTCGCTGATGCTGTCCTGGGGGTCCTCCTGGGACCCACAGGCCGCCGCCGTCAGCGCACAGACGCCGGTCACACACGAGCGGGGACGCACCGCCCCGGGGGCCCAGCTGTAGTCGCACCTCGCTTCGGGGCACCGATCGCACACCGCCGCCGCTGCCGCCGCCGGCGGCGACGACGCCTGCCGACGGCGGCTGGCCGATCCTGACAGTCAGGAGCGAGCCGGAGCTGGAGCCGGTGACGCCCGGCGGCGGAGCCGCGCTTCTGCCGACCAACAGCCCGGGGCCAGAGGCGAGCCCAGCGAACCGCACGGTATCCCAACGGGCAAGCTGGGACGTTCACATACTACAGGCCGAAGGGCACAAACTTTTACTGAGAGCCGCAGGCGTGACACACCAGGGGCCGAGTGTAGATCACGAACGTCGGCGAGCGGAAGCGCCGGCCGATCCGTCCAGCGGGCGGCGGCCCCGCACACCGGCCGTCCAGAGACCTCCCGTGCGTCGCATGGGAACGCCTCCTGAGGCAGAGCGACCCTGACCCTGACCTGACCCTGAGGCAGAGCGAGCCGCCGGCCTGACCGCGACGTCTACCTACGCCATTCCCCGTAACCACACCGTACCCAATCAGCGGTCCGGGTAACTTCACCCACCGCCTCCACCGTCCTCACTCAGCGACCCCTCCCACTCAGTGACCGCCATCACCTCCACCCACCGTCTCCACCGTCCCCACTCAGCAGGTTCTCCTACTCAGTGACCGCCACCACTTCCACCGCCGCATCCACCGTCCTCACCCAGCGGCCCCTCCCAGTCAGTGACCGCCACCATCTTCACCCACCGCCTCCACCGTCACCACCCAGCGGCCCTTCCCACTCAGAGACCGCCATCACCTCCACCCACCACGTCCACTGTCCCCACTCAGTGGGTCCTCCCAGTCAGTGACCGTCACCACCTCCACCCACCGCCTCCACCACCCCCCCCCCCCCCCACACTCCCAGCGGGTCCTCCCACTCAGTGACCGCCACCATCTCCCTTCGCCGACCCCACCGTGCCCGCTCGACGCCGCCGCCGCCCCGGCCGAGCACCCGGCCGCCGCCCGCCTGACCTGCAGGTCGTCGAAGGGCGCGGCGCGCCGGCGCACGCTCAGGTCCAGCGCGCCGCTCGCCTCCGCCGCCGGCTCCATGATCTCGGCGATGCTGAAGCCGGCGCGCCGCGGCGGCAGCGTCAGCGAGGCCGACGAGCGCGGCCGCGGCGGCAGGTTGAAGCTGCCGCTGCGCGGCCGGCAGCCGTAGCGGCGGCCGCCGCGCGGCGGCGACATGGTATTGGCGCGCGATCTGCCGGCGGCGGAGCCGCGGTCGGTCAGGAGCGAGGGGGTGAGACAACGACGCGGGACGCGAGGGACGCCGGGGTTGAAGGCGGTGCCACGCGGATTTCGGAGGCATCCAGGAGGTCCCGACTAAGACAAACGGTACAGGGGACCGCCCGTAGATTCACTGTGGTGAACACAATATTGAGGTCGATGATGATAGGGTTTTATGACACGCCCCCTGCTGAGGTTATTTTACACCAGAGTATTGACGCCGAGTCCAGGGCCCGGCCGACAGAGTAGAACAGTGCTGGGTAGGCGGAGATGCCAACAACTCACAGCTGCAGCGGGAGGGTGACACACAACCACACGCGGCACGGCGCGGCACCGACTCCGAACACGCGCCACGGCGTCACCGGCGACTCTGAACACACGCCACGGCGTCACCGGCGACTCCGAGCACACACCACGGCGTCATCGGCGACTCCGAACACGTCCCGGCCGGCCGCGGCGCGCGCCGACCGGCCGCCCGAGCATCCGCCGTCCAGACCACGCCTCCGAGCGGCCGCGGGCTCGGGTGCACATCTCCCGTCCGCGAACAGCGTCAGTCCCACTTCGCCACCGCGCGGGACACCGCCACCCCCGCCGCCGATGTCAGGGCCCGGCTCGGCCGGCTCACCGCATCGGGAAGAATTCACTGCTGGGACTGCTCCTGCCGAGCGGCGCCGGCGGCGGCGCCACCGTCGACGGCAGTGGCGACGGCGCCTGCGGGCTCGTGCTGAGAACAGACAGGTGCCCACCGTTGAAAGCGCCAATAACGTCTTCCGCTCGGGCTTCGCGAGTTTCCCACCAGTACATACGCATCAGGTCATCAGACCCTTGTATGAACTTCATGCATGGTTTAACACTTCATGTGGGCAGAGCGAAAATTACCCTAGCGGAAATACATGGCAAATAACTTACAGATACCAACTTGTGCCGATCAATAACATATTTTAAGGCACAGATAAGACAAAAGTATCAGCCCTATTCCTAGGAAAACCAGGAGAATGGAGATGTAGTAATCTAACTAATATAATCTATATATAATAGTAACCTATATAAAAGAGCCTAACTATATCTCCATTCTCCTGGTTTCTCCGACGAATAAGGCTAATACTACTGTCTCATCTGTGTGAATGATGTTTCCCGCTAACGCACTGAGCAACTTACGTATTTTACGGCACATTGGGCTAAGCCATTCGACGTCGTCTGCCCGCCGCCCAACACGTACGCTAACTCAACTCACTGCCTTGGGTCGCCTTATCTGGCGGAGGGACTTCATTATTCCCCAGCACAGTCAATTCGTCGCCCCCTCAGTCCGAGTCACATCCCAGTGCGCCCTGCCTGGTAGCAGCCGCGCCCCGCCTCCGCCTGGTGGGAGCAGTGTGCTGCTTCAGCGAACCGTTCAACCATCTGTGGAACTGTGGACTGGATGCCGACTCTGTGGACTGGATGTGGACTCTCTGGTCTGGATGTGAACTGAACTGTGTGGGCTGGATGTGAACTGTGTACGGCGTGCCAGCCTGGCAGAGACAGAGGCGGACTGCGCGTTGAACTGGCGGGAAGCGCGGCCGCCCACGCCCTCACCTGGCGGGCGAGGGGTGCAGACTGCGCTGCGTGCTCACCTGGAGGATGAGGGGTGCAGACTGCGCTGCGTGCTCGTCTGGCGGGTGAGGGGTGCGGACTGCGATGCGTGATCACCTGGCGGGCGAGGGGTGCAGACTGCGCTGCGTGCTCACCTGGAGGATGAGGGGTGCAGACTGCGCTGCGTGCTCACCTGGCGGGTGAGGGGTGCGGACTGCGATGCATGCTCACCTGGCGGAGAGGGGTGCAGACTGCGCTGCGTGCTTACCTGGCGGGCGAGGGGTGCGGACTGCCCAGACTGACGCTCAGCGGGCTGTGCAGGCTGCCGTGCGGGCTGTGCGTGAGCCGGCCGCCGGCCGCCGCCGCCGCTGCCCGCGGGCTGAAGGCCGGCGGCGCCGGCGCCGCCGGCTGCTGGCGCGCGTCGCGCAGCAGCTGCAGGTTGGACGCCGAGAAGTGCGACGCCTGCGCGCCGGGCGAGTAGGCCGGCCGCGCCGGGTAGCATCCCGCCTGCCGGTCAGCCGCAGCGGGGAGAGTCAACGGCCGGCGGCGGCGACGCAGGCGGCGCTGCGACGCGACGGTACGGACGGTCGCGGGCACCGGCGCAGACGAGCGCCCGCGGGCGAGCGAGGACACCGATCGACCGACACGCACACAGACAGGCAGAGTGGGGATGGTCACGTCCTACCAGCGGTCGGCGCGGCACTCTCGTCCAGCGCGGCTCGGCGGGCTCCGCGAAGGCGTCTCACATTTGTCCAGGAGCGTGCTGCCGGCCAGCCGCTCGCCGCGCGGGTAGACGACGGCCGCGCCCGGCAGTATGATACTCCGATCGCCGCTGACCAGCCGCACACAGCGCGCACGCCCGCCGCCACCGCACCGGCGGCGGCGCAGACGCGTGACCTGTGCGGGCTCGCGGGTCATGCCGACGGCTGTCACACCGTCACCAGGCCGGAGCCCGGCGCGCTGCCGCTTTGAAAGAGCGCGCGCGCGCGCCCGGCGACACCCAGACAGCGTTCACTCTCCTCCCCTTCCCCCCTCCCGCCTCCCCCAGCCCGCCAGCCAACAGACCCACCTGCTGGCGCAGCTGCTGGACGTCTCGGTGCACGTGCGGCGGTCCGGCCGGCCCGGCGGGCGAGGCGAGCAGCGCGTGCGCCGCCGCCGAGTGGTAGGCGCGCAGCCGGGCCAGCGACAGGTGCGCGTAGCGCGCGTAGTGGGCCGCC